TATTTTTTTAGCCTATTGATTGCGAGTATTTCAAGAACTTAGTTGCATGAGAAGTGGGTATAGAGAAATTAGATAATGAAAATTTCTCCTAATCTGGATTTGTAAATTCATTTTAGATTAGTTTTTAGCTGTGTTTTTAAACTCGGACCAGACCGGCTGGTCCGATTGATCGAACCAGGAACCGGTCAAATGTCCGGTCCAAATTATTCTAAAAAATCAGATGTATAAAAACTTGGTAAAATCTGGTAAAAAATTGGGTTTGGCCGCCAAACCCAAAGAACCGATGTGAAAAAACGGTTTGATGCCTAAGTGTTACGAATATCATGTTCATTGACCATTATTTTGTTTGTACTCCAAATTTCTTATAGATACAAATGTTAGTTTGAATCACGAAATATACACTATTCTTTTTCTTGTAATTTTAAAGCACCATTCCTATTCATCTATGATTCAACCGTGACTGCTGACACCACTCAATGTTGCTTTTAGTAGGTAAGCTCATTTAGAACCACATGATTTACAAATGAGCCTAGCCTTGATTAAAGAATTTTATCCACTTAAGTTATGAGTCTCATTATAGTGCCGAATTAGGTAATGAAGAAAACCAATTGCTACTCACTTCATTAACATTCACCATTAGGTAATATCAATCTTCCTTTAAAGAGTATCGATTTTACAATTTTGGATACTTTATTCCTTTTATTGATTTTGGATAGTAGTTGACAGTCGGAAAACACCTACTCGGCACTTGAGAATTTACCTTAAACCATTGTAAGTAGAAATCTGCATATTATGCACGCATAAGCAAATTATGTATCGCAATTATGCATGAACAAGTCTCCAATAAGGAAACAGATTTTTACTACAACAAGCAACAAGTTCTTGATAACTTTTTCTCGCATTATTATTTGTTCTCTCTTTCTCTCCCATAAATATCAAAAACTATGTGAAAATGTGTACTGTTACTACAAATAGGGAAGACACAGTGGCCACATGCTTTCTCTTCAAAAATTCAATATTCGTATAAGCCTGTTATCCTTTTGATCTTTTACACTGGTTTTAATTTCTTTTTGCAAAATTATTGTTTGATGTTCTAGATTGCTTTATTTTTTGGGATAATTTCAGAAACCTCCCTTGAGGTTTCTAACAATTTCACTCAGCTCCCTCCAATTTTAAAAAATTACATTGACCTTCCTTACTTATACTATTTAAGTAACATTATAGACCCATTAGGCTATAATTATATTTAAGTATCCTAAATACCCTTACGCAATATCATAACATCAAAAGAGAGTGAAAAAAAAAAGGTTTAGGGATCAATTTAACCAAAAAAAAAGTAACAAACACTTTTATCCAAATTTACTATACTTCCATGATAATTGTAAACCCAAAACCTCATCAACCATTCAATCAAACTCCAATCTAATTCCCAAATTCTATCAATTTTGGTATCACTCGCACTCCAACTTAATCCCTAAATGCTATCAATTTCGGCATCATCAAAATCCCAAACTCTACCCGAATCACTTTACAAATAGACCATAACCATCACCACCAACTAAAATACCTTCAAAAGCTTCTCGCCCCAAATTAACACTACATTTTGTCTATTGGCTAATCTTACACCTCAAATTATGAACCCAACACCTATTGTATATCACCTTCTTTGAACAGAAGACCTGGCCAACCACTATTGATGTCTTTGCCAAGAGCAACCCATACTCCAATAGCGTTAGGAACAGAGAAACTAAATCTTTATGACAAACCACCACCAATACTTGTAAATCAAACAAAAATAAAACTACATGAAAATATTAGATTCTAGTGTGTAATAGACATAATAGCATAACCCAGAGTCATCCCTTTTTCTCTTCCAACCATAGCCCATTAATTGCATTTTTTTCCTCTCTATCACAACCATCTTCATCATCTCCATCTAATTTGACCATGAAATTTTCATTTGCTCCCTCAATTTGTAATTTTGTAAATTTTGATTCTTTAATTTATGCAAATTATAATACGAGAAGAAAGAAACAAAGAGGCCGATAGTTAAGTACTACAGAAAGAGAGAAATAGACAAGAAATAAACACTTCGGGTATGTTTGCATGGTGGTGTAGTTGATGGGTGGAAGAGACTATGGGGTTATAGGTAGGAAGGAGAGAATCATAAGAGATAGAAAAAAAGGGAGAGAAAGAGAAAAGAAACTGTTGTTAATTAAAGTAGGGTTGGAGATTATGACGAATTGTTGCAGTTTTTTATATTTTCTTTTACTCTTGGTTTGGCTTTTGTATCCCACATATGTGGTAAATTATCTATTAAATAGAGGGTATTGTAGTCATTTTATTGAACCAATGGAGGTTAGTGTAATTTTTTAAAATTGGGGGAAGCTAAGTGAAATTATCAGAAACCTCAAGAGATGTTTCTGAAATTATCCCTTATTTTTTCCCTGGATTTTGCATTTTTAATCAAAAGCCACAGATGACTTGTTTTTGGGACTTTCATTTTGAACTTTTCCAAAATCAAATTTTACCCAAAAATTTTACTTAGCCCTTAACAAGTTAGTTGCAGCTGAGCTGCCTTACTCTAAGAAGTAAAAAAGGGTCGTAGTCCTCTTTGTCAACCTATGGGCTACTCAGATCACGATCTAGGGGTGCGCATTCCTATAATTAATGCTTTTTAATCTGAAGGAGTAGTGGCATTTAGGCATTATTTCTCTTCTGATTAGGCAAGCGACGAAGAGATAAGGGAAAAGCAAGGTGACAAACAAGTAGAAGATCATTTAGATGACGTTTCTGATAATCTCTCATATTAGATTTTAAAAGAGGGCTACTTCCTGGAAGAGAGAGTTGGTTACGTTTCCTTCACTTTTCGGTGGTAAGCAGCATTGAGTTCCACCAAATCTTTAATTTATTGAATTTAACCTGGTTTTAACTGATAGAAATCGGAAAAAATAGGGTTTCTTCATTTTTTTGGGTTTTTAAATGCTTTTTAAAATTTTTCTAGATGTGAATTTGACACTCGTATATATTCTAGGATTCATTTTTTACCTTCAAAATAATTCGGATTAGTGTACTTGTTCTTATGAATTTTTTTTTCTAATATAAATTACAATCTTAATTTTTATAGTTTGTCATATAAGTTTTCTTGATTTATATAAACTCACTAAATTTTTATTTAAAATTCTGAAACACATTAGGTTATATAAAATTAAAATATGGGGTCAATCTTTTTTTTAACCCTTGCATCCCTTCCAACATCCTTCCTACCTTTAACTACTAGTTACAGGATTCTAACTCTGGATCTAATAGTAGAGAAGATTCTAAAAACTGTCCCCTGACCTCTAAATATAAGTTAATACTGTATACACTAACTAGATATATACGTGCCACCTATGCAAAAAAAAAAAAAAAAAAAAAAAATATATATATATATATATATATTGATGGTTTAGAAGTAGGTAGCATCCATTCATATCCATGAATACACACATTATCAGTATATGTAAGATTACTCATTCATTTGGTTTTTTCATACCACATCCACAAGTGGATCCAAAAGTTTTGACTATACATTCATTAATCCAATTTCAAATCAATTCTATCTAGCCATGAATTGTATCTTGAAATTGTTAGCTTAAATAAATGGAAAGAATTTGATCCAATTTAGGACGCATGGTCCAAAGAGCTTTGACCATAAAAACATTTGGTCATATAAGCATTTGGTCATTATTAAACTAAACTATTGAAAATAAGATATAAACTTTTGGTCATTATAAGATACCTTATATGAGCTTTTGGTCATTATTAAACCATTGAAAGTAAGATACCATATATTATACATGTATCACACAGATTAGATATCATAAATAAGCAACTGTCTATACAAACTAGCACGCATTAAGTAAAAAAAGTCACAAATAATTAATCACTTCTGCCATTCCTTATCTCCCCCTCCTTTCCTAGAAATTTCACATAAGAAATAGGAAAATATCCTTTATTTTCTTGTTTCAACTAATGCAAATCCATTTTTCATACAAGTAAAATTTACCAAAGAAATACATCATAATTCCTCGGGGAAAAAAAATTTCCCTAACAAAAAGACAAAATTTTGTTTACTAACAAAATGTTTCACTTATCCTTGCCATTCTTTTCTTTGTAGAAGGAATTCAGAAGCATTTACACTTCTGTCTATGTGTAATGCCCACCTACAAGTGCGTATGTTCTCAAGCAAAAGAAGCTGCCTCAAAACAATGACCCGTGTAAGCCAAAAATGAGCTAAGTGAACACTGAAACCGACGCAAACAGTGACGTGTAAGAAAAAAGAGCTAAGTGAACACTGAAGAGTGAAGAAGGAAAGATAGCATGCAATGCAACTCTTTACTCTCGAGTGCTGATCCATCGATCAAGTGAGCTGATCACCGCCTTTGGTGCTATAAGACAAACTTGTTCAATTGCAGCTGTAACCTCCACCAGTATGTAGCTTTGCAAAAACTTCTTCGTCGGCAAAAATACAATCTCACCATCTCTTCATTTTCTCACAATGCTGATGCTGCTTTAGCCCCTTTTCTCTCAAAACAATTCCAAGAAGTTCACTGATTTCGATTTCTGCATCTATTTCTGTTAGTTTTTTTTTTTTTTGCATGCAAGGCATAAATGATACAATACAATACAAACCATATTTTTTTCCTTTTGTTTCAGGATAATCTGGTGGATCTTGGTTGAATCTGTTCAGGACATTTTATTTTTCTAGGGAATTTTGTAAGTTTTGGTGCTAATATTTGGTGATCATTCTTAATTTTGGTGTTTTTTAGACTGATTGTTAAGCATTGTGTTTTGTTTTGAGACTATTTTTTGGGGTTGGAAAGCATTCTATGCGAAACTTGTACTAACTCTGTTTTGTACAGATTTTGCTTGTTACTGTGTTGGGATTTCGCAAGTTTGGGCACTAATTTCTTGTGTACAACCTCTTTTTTTTTTTTTGGTTTTGTTTCAGGAATCGGGGCGGCTCTTGATTGAATCTGTTCAGAATCCTTCTGTTTTTCTTGGGAATTTTGCAAGTGTTGGTGCTAATTTGTGGTGATGTTTCTATTTCTTTTAAATGTATGTTAGGCATTATGGCTTTGTATTGGAACCATCTTTTGCGGGTTGAAGGAGCATTCTTTGCTAAAATTGTACCGTCTCTTTCTTGATTTTGTTTTGACTCTGCTTGTTACTGTGTGAGCAAACGTTACTTTGCGGGTCTCACTATTGTTGTCGATTTGGTCATTGATTGGTAAATATTTGTGTAATTTGGGATCCATTTTCAGTTGCTTGCTCTTGATTTTCGTAGGTTCAGTGATTTTGGGATACTGATCCATTTCTGTAGTTGATCCAATAGATTAATTGATTGGTGTGTGGTTGGTCTATGATTTAGCATGAATAAATTTTTGCAGTCTACTTAGTGTTGGCAGACGTGTAAGGGGCTTTTGAAGTTTAAAGTTTTTGGATTTTTTGTTATTGTTTTTAATTTTTTCTTTAGGATGGGTAAGCAAGAATTTTAAAATCGTCATTATGGCGCCATGGCACAATGAAAGAGGTTTGAATCTTTAGTATTGTCGAGTGGAGTACATCTTTTTTGGATTTCTTGTTTTATTTTTACTTTTTTTGAGATGCAAGTTTTCTTTAAGGCACATAAATGAGGATTTTGAAATCGCTGTTATCTCGCCATGGCGCGCACATGAGAATTTTGAAGTTTGCGCTATGCCATCATGGTGTGCAGACGAGTATTTCAAAATCACTGTTATGGCGCCATGGCATGATGAAAGAAGTTTGGATCTTTACTATCATCGAGTTTGCAATTAGCTCCTTCGCGAGTCAATGGGGTCCACCTTTCTTTTTTTTTTTTTTTTTTGCCTTTACGATGATATATCTGCCTATATCGTGAATTATAGGAACATGTTTTTGGAAATGACATACTATATTGTAGTGGCCAATTTTTTGACTATTGCTTTTAATCATTTATCTATCTTCAGTCAATTTCATTGTGCGTGCTGCCTTTATTTATATATTCCCAAAAGTAATATTTTCACCCAAAAAAAATGCATTTATGAATATATTTTTGAAGGAAATCTTTTCATGAAATTGCATTGAAGAGTACATTTTTTGAAGCAAATCTTTTCATGAATGTATCTTCAAAGTCATTGACTTTCCACTTTTGAACACAACAATATTGTTGACAATGTTGTAATATGTAATTTACATTCCTTCTATTGGCTAATCAGTGTTTTGGTAGTAAAGACTTGCATACTCCCTAGAGCTGAAATTGCATATTGTTAGTTTTTTTTTTTTAATGGGAGGTTTTCTTTAAGGCAGGCAAGTAAGAATTTTTAAATCGCCATTTTGGCATTATGGTGTGGTGAAAGAGGTCCAGATCCTAGGGTCGTCAAGTGTGCAATTGGCTCCTTAATGAGTAATTGGGGTCCATCTGTTTTTACCTATATCGTAATATATCTACCTATATTTTTTGAAAATGGCACACCATTTTCGCATCCACGTTGTGTTAATTACCATTTTTAATTACTTGTCCACTTTGTTCAATTCCATTGCGCGTCGCCCTTATTTACATATTCCCAAACATACTACTTTTACAAAAATATTGCATTTTTTATCATCTTTTTGAAGGAGATCTTTTCATGAAATCGTATTATTAGTCATTGTTTTCCCACTGACCTTTGTTACTTTGTGACCTTTTTCCCTTATGTTTAAAAGAAACTTCGCTGCTTTGCAATCCCTATGAAAAGGAAGAAAGGCAATGGAGAAATTTTGTTGGATCTACTCTCAGTAATTGATAGAGCTCTGTCCATCCTAATTAGATTCACCTAGTTTTGTTGCAATAATCTTTTAATGCTTGTAATGTGAAATGCTGATTCTATGTTTGTTCTCATTCAAGGTGTAAGTGTTACTACTATTCATATGATTATATGCTATCCATCTTAATTCATCACAAGGAATGAATAGTAGCATTTCTGTAGGACTACATATTTTGTGTGCATTAAGCTGTTTGGAGATATGGTCTGATATGTTTTTGAGTTCCTGCTCAGAAGCTGAATTTGCTTTTGGCAGTGATGAGAAGTCCTCGAAGGATGTCTGACATTGGGCGACTTGCTGGGCATGAGAGTCATCATCATTATAAGAGATTTCAGCCCTATGACAAGTGCGCTAAGCTAGATGTCTCCAATGGTTCAGTATCTAACATGGGCAAAGAGAAAAATGCCCTATCACAGGAGAAAAATGCCCACTTTGAAAACATGGGCAAAGATCAAAATAGTCGTGGGCAGTTCAGTGGAGATGAAACGATCATGGCAGCACATGCTTTAGTGGACCTGAGTAGTGCTAAATCTTCACTTGGAACAGATGTTGCTGGATCCAGATTGTCAAAGTTGAACTCCATAGCAGGTTTCTCTCCCTTTCCTCAGTCGAATAATTCGCGGAACATGGCCTCTGGTGGATGTCCTGAAGTTGGTAGTCGCAGCCACGTGCTCAAGTCCATCCAGCTGTTTGAGGAGCAATACATGAAGCTTTTGCAAGAACAGAACACAAAAGGCAAGAAAAAAAGAGGAGCAAATGAGAGGATTGATATAAAAGCAGCCATGATTCTAAAGAAAGAAGGAAAGTGGGTCAATACCACTAGAGAAGTTGGAGAAATCCCTGGTGTTGAAATTGGTGATCAATTTCAGTATAGGGCTGAACTTGCTATTGTTGGGCTCCATACCCAACTTTCTGCTGGGATCGACTACATAAAAATTGGGAGCAAACTCTTTGCAACATGCATTGTCGATTCTGGTCGCTACAATAATGAGAGGAGATCTCCAGACGTGTTCATCTACACAGGCGAAGGCGGAAATCCAGAGATTTACAAGAAAAAGGCGGAGGACCAAGAACTTAAACGTGGTAACCTGGCCTTGAAGACTAGCATGCTAGCAGATCTTCCTGTGAGAGTTGTACGTTGTCATCAATCTCCTGAGGCACCTAATCCCTTGGGCGTGAACAATGGGACCGGCCTTAGATACACTTATCTAGGATTGTATAAGGTGAGCTCCTGCGACAGGGTGAGAGATAAATATGGAAAGCTGGCGTTCAAGTTCACAATGGTAAGGAACCAAGATCGTGGTGGCGCGAGCGGCAGCTGCAAGAGGGAAAGGTCGCATCCCAAGGCGAATGATTCTACTAGGAGCAAAGGCGAAGGAGGTATTATTACCAAGGCGAGGGGCTCCTATCAGAAAAGAGCCTCTTTCCCGCAGGCATGAGATTTGCTGCCAAGACCAAGTTTATCTGCCTTAGATTTGTTGTTAATGAATGTAACATGTACATATACAATCCCTTGTTTAAGTTGGATTAACCCTTTTTTTTTTTATTCTAGAGAATATATCCATTTAAGTTCTTTCGGATTAACTTAATTGTTTCGTCTAGTTTTTGTGTCTTATTTTCGATTAATGATTTTTTCCATTGTGCCAGTACTACTTGAAATCTGACATCACTGCTGTTAGGCACTAGCAACATGATGTTTAAAGAATCTTGAGCCTCTCTTATGCAAACTTGTAAGTTGCTGTTGATTTTTATAGATGTTTTCAGTATCTCGTATGATGAGAAGATTAAAATATTTTGCTTGGTGATTCAAAGTTCTCTGTGGACTTTCAAGAAAAAATGGAGGGAGAGGCTTTGCAGATTTAATAAGAGCAACCAGCAAATTAAACTTCACTATTCCTATACCGATAGAATAGTGCATACAATGCAAATTTATGCTTAACAGGAAGTTCATTGCCTTGAACAATAATTTCTTACCAGCCAAAGAAAATTCAAATCTGAAGTATTAAATACCTGGGAAATTTCAGATATAATTTCAGATACTTAGACCTTCAAAGGACTTTTTTTGTACTTATAATTTCTTTCAGTTTGGAGTCACTCATGTTCTGAAACCATTTATATGACTCTTTTGCTAATCCCTCGGATTAGATTTAAAAGAAGAGCTACCTCCCGGAAAAGAGTCAATTGCATTTCTTTCTCTTCCTAGAAGCAGTATTGAGTTCCACCAAATCTTCGATTTGTTGAATTTAACAAGCAAGGATTTAGTTAAGGTATGATTATATTGGTTGGCTATTGACTGGTCAAACCTAGTCAAAACCAGTAGAAAATTAGAAAAAACTGGATTATTCATTTTTTTGGGATTTTTAATGTTTTTTTTCTTTTTACCTTCTTAAAAGTTTTTTTAATCTTTTTAGACTTAAATTTGATACTCAAAACTTTGCTAAGATTTTTTTTGAACTTCAAAATAATTTGGACAAGTGTACCTGTTTTCATGAATTTTTTTTCTAATTTAAATTACAATGTTAATTTTTAAGTCATATTGAATTATATAAACTTATCAAATTTTTATTTAAAATTCAAAAACACATTAGGATATATTGTTGTAGCTAGCATTTTCATTTTGTTATGATATATATAATTAAATTATAGGTTAATCCTTTTTTTTTTACTATCCTGTCCCTCTCCAGACTCTTCTTGCCGCTAATTGTCAGATACAGGATTTGAACCTTGAATCTAACATCGAGGAAGACTTTAAGAGTTCTCTTCCGACCACTAAATATAGGTTAATCTTGTATACAATAATAGTACATACACTAGCTAGATATATACGTGCCATATATGTCAAAAAATTAATGGTCAAATTTAATTTAGAATTAGATGGCATGCATTTATGTCTATGAATATATATACTGTTGGTATATGTAAGATTAATTCTTTAAATATATGTTTGAGGTCATTTGGTTCTTTCGGACCGCACACACAAATGAATCCATCTATTTTTGCCTATGTCCTGATATATCCACCTACATCATAAGATAAGTGAGCACCATTTTGAAAATGACAGGCTTCCGTTGTATTGCCATTATGTTATATTGCTACTTTTAATTACTTTGTCTACTTTATTCAATTCCATTGCACGTGTCATCTTTATTTACATATTCCCAAACACACTCCTTTCACAAAACTATTGTATTTTTTGTTGTCTTTTTGAAGGAAATCTTTCCATAAAATTGTGTTTTTAGCCATTGTTTTTCTACTGACCTTTGTTACTCTACGACCTTTTTTTCCTTTTGTTTCAAAGAGACTTGGCTGCATTGCAATCCCTTTGAAAGGAAGAAAGACGGGGGAGAAATTTTATTGGATCTAATTTCAATAATTCGTAGAGCTCTATCTATCTTAATTAGAGTCAATATAGCACAAAAAAATGCTTTTCACCTGGTTTTGTTGCTATAATCTTTTAATGCTTGTAATGTGAAATGCTAATTTTATGTTTTTTTTTTCTCATTCAAGGTGTAAGTGTTACTATCATTCATATGATTATCTGTTATCCATCTTCTTTAGTCACAAGGAACGAATGGTAGTATTCTTGTAGGACTAAATATTTTATATGCTTTTCAGTAATGTGTTTAATTAATTAGTTAGTTGGAAAGTCAAGTTAATAAGTTAGTTGGCAATTGACTTGTTTAGAATAATCTTTATCTATTTCAATGAGTCTAGAATGACTTACTCACAAGTATAAATGAGTCTTTTAAGTTCTAAGATGATTATGAGATAAATGAATCAATGAATTAGCCTCTACTCAAAATTCTCTTCTTAATTCTTGGCCTAATATCCAACAAAATTGGAATCACAACTAAGGTTTCACATCCTTAGGTCATCTCCTAAAATCAGAAAATTTTGAGAGATTTTCAACTACACAAGATGGTTAATCATAGTAGTGATGATCCTCCAATTCCCATATTCTTCGGTCACTATGACTATTGGTACGTAAAAATGAGAACAATTTTCAGATCACAAGTTATGGGGATACGTAGAGAATGGTTATAGAGAATCGGAAAGTGAGAAGGTCTCACCAATCAAGAATTAAAGGCACGGAATGAGCATAGAAAAAAAAAAGCAAAAGTTCTTTCATAATCCAGCAAGATGTGAGTTTGAATGTCTTCTCAAGAATCATGGGAGCTGATCATGCTAAAGAAACATGGGATATTCTACAAAATGAGTTCTAAGGAAACTTCAAGGTAAACAATGTTACTTTTCAAACTCTTAGAAGAGATCTTAAAAATTTGAAGATGAGTGATGTTGAAAGTATTCAAAATTACTACACAAAGATCACCAAAATTGTAAATGAAATGAAAACTTTTGGTGAAGAAATTAGTGCCAGTAGAATTTATTGAGAAGATTCTTGATAGTTTGCCCCCAAAATTTGATCAAATGGTATGCATAATTGAGGAGACAAAAAATATTTCCTCACCAAGTGTTCAAGAGTTGGTGGGATCTTTGAAGGCTCATGAGAAAAGGATGGTTAGACATGCTAAAAAATCTGTCGAAAGTGCTTTTCAATCAAAATTGAAATTTAGTCCCAAGAACAATGAAGGAGAGACATCTTGCAACTATGGAAGAGGTGGAGGCTTATAAAGAGGTGGTAGATATGGCTGTGAAAAATGTACAGACAAAAATTCAAGAAGAAAAGGAAGAAACAACCTTCAAAGAGACTTCAATGCTAAAAATTCATAGCCTTGCAACTATTATGACAAGAACAATCATATTGAGAAAGACTATTGGCACAAAGGCAAACCAAAGTGCTACTACTGCAAGAGATTTGGCCATACTGAGTAGGATTGCAGGTTCAAGACCAATCAACAAGCACGATTTTCAAAAGAAAATCAAGGAGAAGGAAATTTATTCTATACTTTCTACATGGCCAATGAAGTCAAGAATGATTTGTGGTACCTTGATAGCAGTTGTAGCAATTACATAATAAGAGATAAATACATTTTAGTTGACTTGGATGAATCTATAAAAACTAAAGAGAAGATAGGAAATGAAGTCATAGCTCAAGTACAAGGATTGGGAACCATTGGAGCCCAAACCAAACAAGGTACAAAGTTCATTTGTGATGTTTTATTTATTCCTGATTTTGACCAACATTTATTGAGTTTTGGATAGCTTCTTGAGCATAAATATGTACTTGCCTTTGATGATTATGAGTGTAGCATCTATGACAAAATGGATGGTAGATAGTTTGTTATGAAAATCAAAACGCAAGGCAACCAAAGTTTTCCAATCAACTTCAACCTTTGTGAAAATCAAGCCTTCAAAGCACATGTCAATGGAGTTTCATGGCTATGGCCTAAGACGTTTGGCTATTTGAATTTTCACAGTCTCAAAGCGCTTCAACAAAAAAGGATGGCATACGATTTATCAATAATTGAGGAGAAGGTTGTGCATTTGGAAAACAGCACCGGAAACTATTTCCTAAAGAAGTTACATGGCACGTTAAGAAAATTTTGGAACTAATTCATACGGATGTTTGTGGGCCTATGAGAACAACTTCTTAAACAGGTAACAAGTATTTCATCATTTTTATTGATGGTTTTTCAAGAATAACTCGGGTTTATTTTATGAAAGAAAAATCTGAGGTGTTTTCAATTTTTTAAGAAATTCAAAAGCCTTGTTGAAAAACAAAGTGGCCATTACATCATGATATTAAATAGTGATTGTGACAAGAAGTATACCTCAAATGCATTTCGAAAATTTAATGAAGATGAAGGCTTGGAAAGGTAGCTGACCATTGGCTACACACCATAACAAAATGGAGTTTTGGAAAGAAAGAACCAAATCGTGGTAGAGATGGCAAAATCTATATTGCATGACAAAGATTTGCCAAAGAAATTTTGGGTTGAACCCGTTTATATAGCTGTATATTTACTCAATCGAAATTCTACGAACACCGTGTGGAATCAAACTCCAATTGAAGCATGGAGTGGAAGGAAGCCCTCAATGATACACCTGAAAGTTTCTGGGAACATTTGCTATACTCAAATTCCAGAAGAAAGAAGGTACAAATTAGATGAAATAAATGAAAAAAGTATTTTTGTTGATTATAACTCCAAGTCTAAATGTTATAGATTGTTTAATTTGAAAACTAACAAAGTCATCATTAGTCGAGATGTTGTGTTTGATGAAAATGCTACTTGGAATTGGGATGATAAAAAGATTGTAAAGTAGATTGTTTGGCATCACGAAAAAGAAGAAAATTCAGCAAATGAACAAAAAAGTGATGACCATTCAACTCCAACAAGCAATTCACCTTCATCTTCAAGTTCAAACTCAAGTTCTCCAAGCTCAACTCTAAAAAAAATAAGGAGTTTGAGTGATTTGTATGCACGATGCAACTTGTGCATTCTTGAATCAGAAAAGTTTGAAAAAACATTTGGAGAAAAGATTGAAGGAAGGCAACAGAAGAAGAGATCCATACAATTGAAAAGAACAAGATTGGAAACTAGTTGAGAAGCCATGTAACTTCAATCTAGTTTAGATTTGA